TCCTTGGGAAACACTTTAAATATTTTGACAAGGAGGTGCTGGGAAAGTGCCAGGGAAGCTCACCCATTCGGTAACAACAGCTATCCAGCAACTGTCTTTAACACAAGTATTTCAGTGTAAAAGTAAATGCTGAAAAGGCATATTTCACTCTACAAACCCAGTCCTTAGAAGAATACTAAATGTAGCTCTGTCTGAGTCAAAGGAACACCAAGCTCATTTTGCAGCTACATAACTGCTGATTCCAGCCCCGACTCTCATATCTTTAAGGCAAGAAAAAAATAAAATAAAATCCAGAAATAAATAGAAGAAAATACACCAGTTCCCAGGGTAACAATTTGTGAATCCCAAATCAGTTGGAGGTAACTATTTAAAGCCAATCTGCAAAGAACCGAACGAATGGCAGGGGACATGGTGGTAGGCCATAAAATAAAGCCATGCTTGTGGATACCACTCCAATAAGCGTAAAAATAATAATGAGGATGTAAGGTTCTTTGTCATTGGGCTGCAGCTGAGTTACTGTTTTTGTAGCTGAAAATATCATCTTCCATTAGCTGGGGAGTGGTGTTTGTTTTACACATTCTGCCTTCTGTTGCTCTAATGCACTGGGCATGCTGAACGCTAGATCCAGGAGCTGGGGCGGCAAGGATTTCCTCTAGCACATCGCTCACTGATCAAATTCCTTCTCTCTTCCTGAGGCTCTCAGGTAAGTGCAAAACCTACCATGGAAACCTCTGTTTTTCCTCTTGGAGAAAGGACGGGGCATACTGTGCAGCTAGAGGAGTATTTGCATTAGTGTTCAGAGCTAGGTGAGATATCTTGGGGCAACACTGTAGATGTACCTTTATAGGACAGACGTAACCATTATATTTGTATTGGATGGAACTGGTTGAAGCTGTTGCAACGTAAGTGTTATGTCTTCACGCTCCTATAGTGATATAATGATTTTACTAAAATTATAACATTTCATTCCGGGTTCAAGCTCCAGCAGTTTTGTATGATTGTTGGAGCCTGAACACATAACACTTACATTGCACCAGCTGATGGGTGCTTCTGAGAAGCACCATCTCCTTCCCTGTTAAAGCGCTGGGAAGTGACACGTGTCTAAAACAGTGGATCTCAACCTGTTTAGACGCTACGCTTCCCTTGGATAATTCCAGCTCTTAGTTTTTACTCATTTTCTGATTACAAAAAAATACTAGAGCAATCCTTCTGTTGCAGAGGACTCAGACCACAACAGGGCAGAGCGGTTTTAACACTGGATTCCTATTTGAAATCTCTGGGTTTATCTTGTGAACCATTTTGTGCACCTAACAGTGCTAACATTGCATGGCACCCCGCATCACCCTTGAAAGGATCTCAAGGCACCCCAGCATGCTGGGGCACCCTGGTTGAGAGTCACTGGTCTAGACTCTTTTGCTTTGACTGGTCTAGACTTGCTGGTCTAGACTCTTTGATCCTTCTTTGCTTCTCCGAGGTGCTGTGAAGGTCAGTTCATGAAACAGTGAGAGGTACTGAGGTACTCCGGTGAAGGACCTCCAGAACATAGGCTAGCTACCCCATTAGGCAGAAAGCATTTCAGCTCAGAGAGGGCGGATACCATTTCCACACTCACGCTTAAGCAAAGTAGGACACTTTTGTCCTGGGTGTAACTTCACTAACTTCAACACAGTGATGTGAGGGATGACTTTCACGTGGGAAATTGAGACCAGAGAGCTTTCCCTCCTGGAGCAGCAGGCAGTTCAGAGAGGCTGGAAGGGGTTATGGAAAGAATCACGGTTAAGAAGTGCAGATCCTCGTGCCAGAATGCGGATTGTGGAAGTGTACCAGTTCAGACCAGTGCTTTTCTGTGCACCAGCCACTCCTTTGGCTGTAGTCAGCTTGGTGGGTAAAATGTTTCCTGTGGTACAAGCAACGCCAGAAGGTTGCAAGGGCCCTGCTCTGGTGTTACCACTGAATCTCTCCTGATTTACACTGGGGACATCTACATGTACGCTTTCCTGTAGAGTTGACTAAATAGCTCTGCACTAAAGCATCAATGTCTACATGTGCAGTGCTATTAGGCCAGAGTAAACTAATTAACTCCACCATAGGATAGTACTATCACATAGGATAGTACCAACACAAGTACTATCCTATGGCGGAGTTATTTACTCCACTGCAACGCATGTGTAGATGGTGACCAGGGCTGGCTGGAGCATGAGGGTGCTACAGTGCGGGGGGGCCGCCTGCCAGTTAACTCTGCACTGGAGCACCCTCATGCCCCCGCCAGCCCCTGCATGGCACATTGAGCTGGGGCAAAGCAGCTCCGGGCTGGCAAGCTGATGCCCACCCCCCCAGGACCCAGCTCAACGTGCTGCAGTCCTGTGTGCATGTGTAAACACTGTGCCTGGGAGCAATAAACTCCAGTGTGAACTACACCAGAGTTTATTTAGACATACTAATTGCATGTGTAGATGGTGTCCAGGGCTCGTCCCTTGCCACACAACTGAGCAGCAGATGCTAATCTACGCCTTCCAAGATGGTCTGACTTTCCAGTGTCCTCTCACCATGTGGATCCTCAGTGGCTTCTGTCAAAGGCACCGGCTTTGCTCCTGAGTTATAGATCCCAGTCTTGACCGGGGGGCTACCACTATCATGACTGCAAGGAGCCCACTGCGTTCACACACGGAAGATTAATGGGGACATTCAGAAACTGCCCCTCGCAGGGGTGGGACCTGCCCCGTCATCATTAGGTGGTGCCATTACACTTCAGTGCTGTTAAGC